GATGGCTCATGCTCGCCCCCACAATGTTTACATTCACCTAGTTAAGCCACACCCATTAACTTTAATATTACTAAATTGGCTAAATAAAACTATTTCTGAGAAAAATTATTATTGAAAAGCATTATAAAAACCTTCTTTGGCTTCATATACTTCAGCTACTTCATCTACTTTCCAAGAAAATACATTTTAGTAATTTTATAGATGTTACTCCTATAGTTAATTAATTATTTATTAAGGTTATGTAACCATTTTGTGGGCGTGGTCTTGTTATCGATATTTTCTTCAAATTTTTTCGATATTGATAAGTATCGATACCGCATTATATCGATTAAATATCGTGAGTTTTGATATATCGCCCAGCACTAGTATACGGGAGCAGTTGTAAAACTGAACCCCAGATGTACATGTACACTGATTGATACAAATGATAAGGGAAGGCTTTTATTGAGTTCCAATGTACATTGTAGGGACATTGTGTATCAAAAATGTGATAAAAGCTGTGGGTGCTTCAAGAGCAACTTTTGGCCAAAAAATGATTGTCATTTGCAAATTGCTAGTCATTGCTTCATTGATTGTTTTCAATAAAATAATAATTATTAATTAAATTAATTATCATTATTATTAATGAATTACAAAGGGGTTAAAAATAAATGCGCATTATTAGTCCAGAAAGGAAGTATACAAAAATAAATTAATAATTAATAAATCAATTGATGGCCTAATAATAATAATAACAATAATAATAATAATAATAATAATAATAATAATAATAATAATAATAATAATAATCCATTGTTTTTGAATAATATAACAGTCATTTTTAATCCAAAATTTCACAATCATAATAATAATAATAATAATAATAATAATAATAATAATAATAATAATAATAATAATAATAATAATAATAATAATAATCACTTTAATTATTTGCCTCTGCCATTTTTAAGTCTTTTTGTTTTCAGTTTAAGAGATAAAGAGAAAGAGAGTGAAAGATATTCCTTTATTATTTATTTATTTATTCATTTATTATTATTATTTTTGTGTGTTAGTTCAAGCAGAGGAGTGCTGTTGAGTCGAATGGGATGGCTGGTAGTTGGAAACCTAAAATGGATGAAACTTCTAAAATTTGAAGCTTGCATACCATTATACTGATACATGTATCACCAGTATACCAATGTACATGTACCAGTATACCAATGTACATGTACCACCAGTATACCAGTGTATTAGATGTACCAGCGTACCTGTGTATATCCATTCACTGGTGACCCGTTGGCAGCGTCCTTAGGTGAGAGGCCAGTAGGTGGAGAGTAGCTTCCTTCAACCACATTTCCGCCATTTAAGTAACTTGAAGGAGGCACAGGGAACCCGTGGGGAGGGGAACCAGTTGGGGACATGAACGGATTACTGATAATGGCCAAACCTATTGAGAGGAAGATATCAAAAATAATGTGGACATTTGACTTAGCTCTCTCTCTCTCTCACCTTGAAAGTGATCAGAAAGGTAATCTGGTGATGACAGAGGCAGTGGCGGTGAGTGTTCAGGGATTCCACCTGCTCCTCTTACAAAGAAAGGCATTGGGCCTCCGTTATAACCAGAGGGGTAAAATGGAGGAGAAGGCAAATGATGATCGCTGGGGTACCCGTAACCTCCATAATAGGCCATTGGATAGTGAGGGAAGAAGGATGGGTAAGTAGGTGAGTAATTGAAGGCAGCTGGACTACCTGCAGCTGAAAGAAAATGTTATTATTTATTGTTGTTGTTGTTGTTTACCATAGTTGTGCTGGTTATAAGAAACGGCTGCTCTAGCTTTATCAGCTTGATGAGCCAAAGCCTCTTTAGTCTGAGCCACCTTCACCTCAACCTAATAAGGAAGAGGAGGAAGAGGTATATAACAGTAGAGTAGATGGTGTGTTCCTCTCACTCTCTTCTTCTTCAAGTCATGAAACTGGATACTGCAAACTTTAGCAGCTGGTCCAACCTTCTCAAATGTAACAAACCCAAAACCTAAAGAACATGAACAAGAGCAGTATAGGAATAGAATACATATAGTATAGGAATGAAAACATAGGAATGAGACAGATAGGAAATGATTGAGCCCTGGATAATTATACACTTGGCAACACACACACTCAGACTTCCTTATTAAAAATAAACTTTATTTAATCTCATGTTTACTACATGTACATGTATACATGTACTGGAGTTACAGGTAACACTAATAATGAAGCTACACATGTAAGGATAGATAGAGGAAAGATAGTATATCAAATGAAAACATCAAAAGTTGGAGCCAATTAAACAGGAACTGCACAAGTACATGTAACTGTACATCTCCCTCCCCCTCTCTCCCTCCCTCTCTCTCTCCCTCTCCCTCCCCTTAACCTCTGTGTCTGTTAGTATGTTTATCGTACATCAACTGAACCTCTTCAACCTAAGGAGACAAGAATATCTATACTCTACTTCTACACAATGAACTAATAAAATAGACACATCCTAAAATGCACAAAGTATTAACAAAAGGTTATTACGACACTTTAAAATAATGATAATTAACAGATCCAATAAACACAATTAATTATTATTACACCTCAGAAATACTTTTAAATCCATACTAATAATTAGTTATAACTATTAATAACTATTAATAACTTACTGGTCCGAATACTTCAAAGAATTCTTTCATGTCATCTTCATCAGTGTCAGAACTTAAACCGCCAACAAATATTCTACGAATCTAAAAAAGAAAAAAGAACGTTTAAATCATAATGTGCACCTTAACTCTTGTTACAAGTACATGTACTGCATATAGTGATCGAACCTCCTTCTCCCCCCCTCTCTCTCCCTCTTTCCCTTTCCTCCTCCACAGGTATGTACCCTCATCACATATACATAGTTCCAATTCTATTATGTAACCAAATAAGGAGCTGCTACCAGACCTCATCCAATAACTGTTTGTAATCTGATATGAAGGAGTGAATAATGTTAGACCACACCCATTGGGCTTATAATGATATTCATAGCTAGTAATATTCAAGGACTGTTCAAACATTCAAATACCAAAGGAGAGGAGACATGGAGTGAGATTGTCATGGTATGGATGAGTAATCACTGCTTATCACAACTATTCCAGGGCTATCTCTCTCTCTCTCTCTCTCTCTCTCTCTCTCTCACACACACACACTAAAAGCATTTTAATCATTCTTATGCTGATGTGTACTCTAAGTTACAGTAAATGTACTAGAATTAAGAAGACAGATAGAATTGGTTTACTAGCTTGTCCTCTCAGAACTACAGCAATACTACTGTATGATGCTGGTATATAGTGTAGCAGTGCAAACAATAATCAGCTGGACCTTGTAATAGTACCCGCCACAAAACCACTCAAAGTTTAAAATAGCAACATTACTACCACAGAGGGTAATTCATATGTATTCCCAGGTACATGTAAATTGTCTCCTAATAGAAGGTTATAGTGACCGAGTCTAATCAATGATTACAATAACTCTACTACATCTCTACAAGTACAAGTATGTGTGTACACTCTCAGGGCTCATGATGTGTGTACATGTAATCCTTCTCTTCTCACTTGAGATGCTGGGGTTGGCTTGTTGCCTCTCTTTGGAACAGCTGGCTTAGGATCAATCTAAGAGAGAGAAGGAGAAAGAGAGAGAGAGAGAGAGAGAGAGAGAGAGAGTGAGAAAATATTGAGTCAAGATCTGCCAATAATATCATAATATCAGCCAATGAACCAAGTCTATGGATACATGTACAGTATATGTAATTAGCATTTATAAATAAGAGAAAAGATAAATAAACAATAAATAATAACAGTGATGATAGATACTAACGAAGAGGACACACAAGAGGAAGAGAGAGAGAGAGGGACAAATACCCCAGCAGTACAAACATAAGCAACACACCTCTCTCTCTACAAACACAAGCCATTAAACTAACATACAGTACATGTATAACATCTTTACTAAGGACACCTTTAGCTACCATACTACAGAGAGGCTTATAAAGAGGTGTCTTCATTATAATAAAGGCGTCTATAGAGGATACATTCAATTATACTTACAGTATGTACAGTGTACATGTACATGTACATGTACATGGTTTAGGGAGAGGGTAAGGTGTACATGTACATGTATGTACATGTACAGACAGTGAAAGTGAATGAAAGTCATTATAAAGGGAAGATATAAACACTGATGCATCAAATTTATAAACAAAATAAATAGAGAGAGAAGGAGAGAGAGAGAGGAGGAAGAGAAGGTTAAAGAACATGTACTTGTGATGTTAAAATCTGTTAACAGTATCCATTGACATTAGCAACAACAACAACTCACCATTTTGTCATCAATAATGATTGGTGACTCAGCATGTGCCTCCAAGATACACTGGATACTGTTGGCATCTTTGAATGTTATGAATCCAAAACCACTGAGAGAGAGAGGGGGAGAGAGAGAGAGTGAAAGATGTGTAGAGTAAAACTAGCAGTCTAAGCTGTACTTGGCTATAACAACTGAGCCAGTAGCTGTCATGTGTGTATGGTCATGACTACCTCCTCCTTCCCCACTTACCGAGATTTACCAGTTCCATCTTTCATTATCGTGCATTCTAAAATCACGCCAAACTTCTTAAAATATGCCTCCAGGGTTTCTAAAAAAAGAAAGAAATAAATAAAGTATTTAGATACTTTCGAAGTCTTTCAAAGCTGATAAATAATGAGAAATAGAATAGGTCTTCTTTTAAAATTGAGACATGGCAGCTGCTTACCTTCAGAAGTATCGTTACTCAAAGCACCGATGAACAATTTACTAGAAAACAAGACAATAAAATACATATTGTACTTCCCTAACTCACGTTTGCTGTTGAGCTGAGTCCTCACTAGCTACTGGAGGAGAATCCGGAGGCGAGGGAGAAGAAGATCCATCGCTCCTGTTCCTTCCAGCTTCTACCTTTTCCTTGTCGTCAAGGTCCCCGCAAGGAGCCTCTCGCAAATTCAACTTTGAAGGAACGGGCATACTGTAGTAGTCTCTCTTCTTCCTCTATTTATATAGTGAGTAAGGGCTGCTTCTGCTGTAGGTTATGTAATAACAGTGAGTCTTGTGTGGAGTAGTTCGGTAGGTTAAAGTCTCCTTGGCTGCTTCCAGAGATGTTCCTGCGTGCTGGTTGCTAGGGAATGGCGTTCCTGTTCTGTAGAGAGACTGTCCTTTTGTACAGTAAATGAAGAATGATGAAGAAACAATATCGACTAGCTACTACTGACTAGTGGCTAAACAAATAATAATAGCTAATGCTAGAGCTACTGAAGAAAGAAAGAGAGGGGGACAGGATTACTGGACTACGGCGACTAAACACAAACAAAGAGAAGGAAAGAAGAGGAGACTGAGAGAGCTGCTAAACTAGGAACAGGAGGAAAAGGAGCTTCTCTCTGCCTCACTCTATCTCTCCAGTGGCCCGTGGAGTGACTCAGTGCGAGATTTTAAGAGAGACGCGAGGAAATGCGTCAAATGTATGCAATGAATATCATTAAGTCATTTAAATTTTAAAAGTGTATTATCATTATTGTTATTATTATTTTTCAAAACACTCATGCCTGTAGGAACCTAGAGGTCTCTCCTTTAGCTCCTCCTTCCCGTGAGCATAAGAGCACTCATCCTCTCTAAGGGGGCAGCCCTGTGGGTGGGACGAATGGAACCAACACAGTTTAGTGTTGTATAGCCTATCAGACTGGGACTCCTTCCATAGTCTTGACTTACGACTAGCAGCTGGACCTAAGGGCTCAGTGCCTCCTTTTGACCAGTCCCTGAGCTGTATCGATCCTTTATGTACTGGGAAAAAGAAAAAAAAATGGATTTACTTTATTATTAATTTATTGTATTGATTCCTGGGATAATTGTCCCAAATATCAACAGTTAAACACTAAACAATAATTACATGTTTCTCCCCCTCTAAATGTACATTACCGGACCCCTAGATGATATTGAACAAGACCCCTTGTGTACAATGGCATTGATAGTGACTGTGTGGCATTGAGTCAATTCAATAAGGAACAAGTTGATAAGTGTAGCAGTGTTTGAGACACTGTCCACTGTATTTAATAATTTATAATACACACACTACAAATACTAATATCAAACTGCATTAATACACTCTTCACTTAATCAATTACTGTACAGACATTGTTGGATCTAGAGGGAGTTTAGGAGACTTTTGGTCTTCCATATTTGGTCTGTGTCTCCTAAAATCTGTAATTTTTAGCTTTTGGTCTCTCGTATATACATGTAGGCTAGGATTCCTTAAGTCTACCATTTTTAGTTAGATTGGTCTCTACTTCTAGAGCTAACATGATTGTATGTGAGTGAAGTGAGTTGGCATTTCAGTATGATGGCTGGTGATTGCATTACTGTGTTGGGCCTACAAGTTGATAGTAAGACATTAGATTAGGAGAGTCTCTGGAGAGAAAGAGAAGCTCAAAGGAGAGAGAGAGAGGGAGGGATGAAAGGGATAGAGCAGCTGTTTGCTTGTTATTTGAATATTAGGGAAGAGGGAGGATGAGTAGCAGTAATTGGTTGAGTACATATATCAGGTGTATATGGTAAAAGAATGACAGTCATCTCTTACTAAAGTACACACTGGAATGACTTGAACATCTGCAACAATAACATATACATGTAGCATTGCCACACTTTCACTATGTCCTGTATCAGGAACTAGTTGTATTGAATATTGGGTATAATTTGGAAATGGTCTTACCCAAGGCTATTATAGCCCATGGTTTTTTCCAAAAAATGGCTCTGAAATCACCCCAAATTTTTATTACATTTTCTGATACATATTGATGTACTTATGCTGTGTAGAAAGTTTGAGCTGATTCCGACTTCAATTTTTCAAGTTAGGGCCATTTTAAGGTACACACACGTGTACATGTACATTGTAGTTATTATGTATATGTAGTTATTAAAGGTTAATTAAAGTGTAACTGAAAATGCCCAAAACTAAAGGTACAATTGAATTAGGATAACGCAAACAAAAACAAATAAACACAAATAAATGAAATAAATAAAAATAATGACACCATATCAGAATGATAATTAGCACATAATTCATAAGGTAGGCATGTGTGGGGTTGAAGGGTTAATATCAGTGTGGCAGGTACTGTATTACAAAAGGAATTCACTCCAGCTGGTAATGTACACGTACATGTACATGTACATGTATAAAGTAAAGAAATATTTGGAATATATCCTAGCAGGTGTACCGTGAAATATCTGACAGTGATTACGAAGTAATGTGTTCAATCCGCCACACTCTCTCTTTAACAATGATAACCTAACGGGACCAACAGTAGCAGCTGCTTCAGATACTGATAATGAACCTGAGAGAAAAAGGGAGGGATATAGTTAGCAATTTAACCTATTAGTATTTACATAATAAGAGGTTTAATTACATTATACTGTATGAACATGATAGGTATAACTAACTACATGTACATATCCTTATTTGGGCATAATAAGATCAAAACAAAAGAGGAATGTGCATCTACCAAATACCAACAAGAGTATCCTCCTACTACCAATTAGTAGTCATAAATACAACCCCATGATAATTAAAGACTCATTACAGACTCATTCCCATACAAATGTACCTCTTTCATTCCATTCTCTCTTGTCTCATTCCCATACCTCCTCTTTCGTCTCATTCCCATACCTCCTCTGTTCCATTCCCTCCCGTCTCTTAGTCTAATACATTCTCCTGGAGTCTGTTTCAAAATGGCGTCTGTTACCATGGTAACAATATCCTCTTGTATTGAGCGATCAATTGTTGAGCAGTTTCGAATCGGCTCTATTGATGGGCGTGGCTTGAAGGTATCACACCACTTATCGTCATGACAACCATCGCTAAGGGGCGGGTCAGGGGTGTGGCTTGGTTTAGTGCACCTGCTCTGAATAAACTCCTGCCTCCTCCTCTCCACTGATGACTCATCCTTAGGAGAATAATGGCGGCTCTGACCTATCACACATATCTATACAAGAGAATATAATTATTGATTGTTTGTTTGTTTGTTTGTTGTATACTAACTCGTTTGCTTGAGGGTATCCTCATAGTGTCCTCCATTACATTGAAACCCATTGCAAAACTGACCTCCTTTATATAATCAACATAACACCTGTACTGACTCTTATGGCAGCTGGACCGGGAGTACTAAAGAAATACATGTACATGTACAGACTAGCCTCTTTATAATGGACACTGTGGCTCTGTTATACAAAGGTGTCCTTTATGTGGAGGTTATTTTATACAGTAAGGAATGTAATTGGTACACTAGGTGCTGTCCGTTAAATGGAGGTGTACGCTATAGAGAGTGTCCATTAAGAGAGGCTATACTGTACATGTATAATAAGCAGCTGGAGATATACAGGATTGAGCCAAATTGATTAATAAACAGCATAAGAATAACATTTTCAGTTCCAGTAATAATAATTAATAATAGTTAATCAGCCATGGATGATAATTATGACAACTATTATTGTTTACCAAGAAACAGCTAGAGGAAGAGAGAGCCGGGGGAGAGCTAGTGTAGGACATTACAAGTACATGATGTTCATTAACAGGAGGAAACCGACACCAACAAACAATACCCCCGTACCATGATTGAACCATTATACCACTGTACCATTGAACCATTATACCACTGTACCATTGTGCCATTGTACCAGAGTACCATTACAATTAGTCAATTACATCGTGAGTTATAATAATAGTTTATAATTATAATGTACATGTATATACGTGTGCTTACCTTCTTATCAAAATCAAAGGTACAGCACGGGAGTACAAAGAACTTAGTAGTAGCTGAAGATCTACATGTACATTGGATAATAATAAATGATAAGATAATAAATAATTACAACAATCTAATTAACTATTATTATCAATTTAATAGAAACAATAAATAACTAATTACCTGCTGGCCATTACCGGAATCCAGGGGGTTAACTCATCGCTATGGTTACCAATCAACCAATCAAATTCAGAGAAACGAGTACTCCCCGAGGGAATGAGAGCAGCTACCTAAAGGAAGGGAGAGAGAGAAAGAGAGAAAGGTAAATGGCCGAGGGGTAGAGAGAGGTGAAAGGTAGTACCTCGAGTGTTGCTGTGGGTTGGAGGAGCTCCCATATCCTTCTAGCTCTGACATCAATACCTTTGCCCTGGTGCTATCAAATAAAACAATTATCATTAATTATTATTTTTATTAATATGTCACACAATTAATTAATCATATTTTATTAATATGTACCAAGTACCCCTTCAGCTGACAGTATATAGACTAACACGCCATTGCCACACCCAAGATCAACAAACGATTGTAATCTACTAGACCCTGCGGACCCTCTCTCTTCCTCCCATAGAACCTTAGAGAGAGAGGGAGGGAGGGGGAGAGGGAGAGAGAGAGAGAGGGAGAAGAATTAGAGTTGAATATTACTTGAAGTGTTTATTACCAGTAAGTAGGTTGCTATGGCGATGTCTTCATACACAAACTTATAAGGATCAGTAGTTTCAGGCCAAACCTATCCACAAGAGCTTCAACTAATAAATTACTAAAAGAAACCTTACTTTAATCAAAGGAGGTCCGTATTTTTCCTTGAGTTCTTTGTAAAGTGACGTGTACCTTTTCATTGATATTACCTCATTATTGCTGGTAGGTGTGGTCAAAGGAGACTCCGCCCACTGACAGATCTTTGGTAATAAAACTGATTGAAGCCACACCCTCTTAGGATGGACCACACCACAATCAGTACCACTCGCTGTGACTAATAGGATAATTCTAAACAAACAAATAAACAAACAAATAAATAAATAAATAAATAAATAAATAATGTACTGACTTTCCACATGTGTCTCCGCCCAGTTTTACATTAACTCCGCCCACATCAGGAACGTATTGAAATTTATAAGAAAAATGTGCAGGCGAAGGAATAAATGTAACAATATGACCAATTTCATCTAAATAAATAAATAAATAAATAAATAAAAATAAATAAATAATAATAAAATTGATACTGTCATACCAATTAAAACAATGTCTTTTCCGTTGTCATGGTTACTTGATTTTGCTACTAATTCTCTTTCTAATCTAACCCTCTGTTCCTCCCCAGGAGCAGCTGCTAATGAACTAACTACAGCACAAGAGACTCTCTTATTAATGACATGAGGTCTGTATATCCACACCTTAATAATAGTAATAATATAATAATAATAATAATAATAATAATAATAATAATAATAATAATAATAATAATAATAAATAATAATTATAATTAAATACAATACTAACAGGACAAAGTGCTCCTCCTAAAAAAATTCCTTACGTTAATGGCTGACAGAAATCCTTTAATGTCTCCTTTAGTCCCTCCCTCCCCGATAATCTCCCATTCTCCTTCCCTCCATTCTGACTCAAGGGACGCCATTTTATTTGCAAAAGAGGCGTGGCATTGGCACAGCATTTCAAAATGGCGTCCTATTGGAAGGCCCTCACTCTCCTACTGATATTTTGCTTCCTCCTTGCTATTGAAAGCAAAGAGACAGAAACTCAAGGAAATGACTCCAAGCCCCAAGTTGAATATTACAATCCTCCATTCGACCCCCTTACCTCCCCCGCCCTCTATTCAAAGGCTGGTACCAGACTAGTGACGCTGAATGAGCTAGCGGTTCACGGCAGTGTCAATGGCACCTTACGCCCATACTGGCTGGCTATAATGGGACGTGTCTATGACGTGGATAAAGGCGAGCGGCACTATGGTCCGGAGGGAGGCTACAGCTTCTTCACCGGGTGTGACGGGACCAAGGCGTTTGTCACTGGTGAATTTAACGACGATGGTTTAACGGATGATACAACGGAGTTGACACCGGAACAGTTGCTAGATGTTGATGGGTGGGTCCAGTTCTATGAGAAGGACTATACATTTGTTGGTAAACTCATCGGAAGATATTATGATAGAAATGGCAACCCAACGAAAGCGTATTACAAATACTTGAAGAGACTGGAGAAAGGAAAAGAGCTCAAGAAAGACAAGGAAGAAGACGAGAGAGAGTTTCCTCCTTGTAACTCGAGATTCACACAATCAACTGGAGGAACTGTCTCATGTTCAACTAAAAGGTATAAGAGTATTTATTAACACAGTCATTATTGTTTTGTAGTAATCATTATTACAAATAATGTATCATATATAGTTCAGGGCATTGTATGCCCTTTCAAAAATTATTACTTTTTGAACAATTACTCCGTGAAGAATGCCTGGTTCACCCACCTGCATTATAAATCATGATATTGTGTTGAGGCTATTGTGGGTCCCATAATTGATGTTGTTACATCCTCTCATTAATATTCATTGATTATCTAGTGATCTCATTAATATTCATTGATTATCTAGTGGTGGCATAGAGAGAGACTGGGAGGGGCTCCCCCGGCGGTACTTTGCTCCTGGTTCCAAGAGCTGGCGCTGTGCATGTGTTCATGAGAAACACTTGGAGAGTCCTCGAGTCCAGCTGTTTCCAAACTGCCCACCTGAAGCTAAGGAATGCCCAGTTGACAGTAGAAGATCAAAAAATGAACTATAGAATAACGACTGCTTCGTTTTTAGTCATTTTTTCCAATTTTCATTAATAATAATATAATAATAATAATAATATTAAAAGTATACACAAGTGTGTCAAAGTGGGTTGAAAACAAAAGAAAAAAGTTATACTCTATCAGTACTTCAGTAGTATTCATAAAAATTTGTACTATGACCCTATCTCATATAATTTATATAGTTTAGCTTGTCAGCCATTGATGATGTTTAATGATATCCTTCTTCCTTTCCCCATAATCATAGACTAGTTCTTCACCAGGAGAAACTGTCCTGGCAGCCATTAGGCACAGGTAAGGATGATCTTCAACTGGGATTAGTTTCGTAATGACATTCGGTTTAGTTTTTGAATGGTTGACTAATCTTCCCATCCTCTTGTTATCTGTAGTAGCATCAACACTAGATGACATATCCAAATATGGTAATGAATCCAATAGTGTTGACTCACACAAGAAGTACCCAGTACGTGTATCAGGTTAACAGAGTTGAACAAACAGTGTGATTGGTAGTGACCACATTTGGCAAGTAAATGGAATTTAGACTATTTTAGAATATTAGTACTAATTGAATCAATTAATAGGAGCTTTCATCGACCAAACTAAATTAATTATATATAATCATTGTTATTTAATTTCAAACAATACCATTACAGGTAAAGGTACATTAGGGGGCAAAATTGAACCCCCGGGGCCCCCTCAAACCCAACTCACCACAGTTTCTTAGATTGAAATTCAAAGTAATACATGTAGCAGCCAATGCCCGAGTCTTTGGAGTATTCCTGTTCCCTTTGAACTGCCTCTCTGTATGATATCAGCTCTCCTGAGTACTCACAAATCAACTCGTCTTTGTGAAACGTTCTTGTTGCTACAACACCTCTACCTTTCCCATCAGTCTCTATTACCTACAACAAAGATACAGTAATTGAATGTAATGTATAGTGATCAGTGTGTGTGTGTGTCTGGAGGTGAGTATCAGTAATGTAATACCTGAGTCCCTTGATATCTGCCCTCAGCTTCACCTCAAGCAGATATCTCAGTCCTCAGGTATTACATTACCAATCCTCCATTACATGTACATATTAAGTTACTTTGAGTCCGTCTTCTATTTTATGCTCAAGTTTTCTTATAATTTCGCTCGTCTTCTCTTCCTACATGTACATGTAGAAACTAAACCACACCCACTAACATGTACGTACTTCCATTAATGATTTAACACGTCTTGTACTTCTTCTTAAAGGAAAGTATTGAGTGATTGGTTTCATTTCAGTTCTAAATACATGTAGTTATAATAATTTCATTTATTAATTCATTATACATGTACTTGTCATTCTTTACAGCTTTCCCTCTAGTTCTGTTTCTTTTCTTGTTCTCTCCTTGATCTGGCTCTTTCTTTATTGTCAGTTTTGAAGGATCTTTCTCTTCTTTCATTACTGCTTTCTCATTGGTAGCCATTTTGAAATATTCAAATTTCAAATTTATCAAGTTACACCCACCAGCTCACGTGAATGCACGTGCAACTTCTACGCATGCGCAGTTGGAAAGGAATTTGCAGAAACAAGCCCCACCCAATGAGTCAGAGCTGATCATGTGATGCAAATTAAAACTCCATTCTTTCGTTCAAAGCGAACGTCTTCTTTTCTTTTTCTCTCTTTCTCCTTTTAGAATACCAGCAGGGGATTCAGTTTGAGAGCGTCCTACAGTGATAGGAGCCTCTATACTTCCCTCCTAGCAATCCATTGCCTGTTTTTTATATCCTAACAGCCAAAGATCAGCTAATAATGTGTTACAAACACGAGTCACAACAACCAGCTCCCCAAGGGAAGGCCTGTATCTTTCCCAGGTAACAGTGTCTTCCTATTAATAATTATCATTATATCTTAGTTCTTATTTCCAACGTCAAGCTGACCGGCAGCAGTGTGTCCACTGTCACGATAAACTAGCTCCAGGGGAAGTCAAATCAGCTTTGGGTGTTTGCACTGTTTTTGTCCTTCGGAAGACTTACGAGTGGATGACACATCCTAAACAACAACAATAAACAAGCAACAATGTATTGTTTACACAATTAATTACTGCACGTTTTCATTATTGCTTTTGTTATGAAAAACTTTTAAGTTAATTACGAGTTAATTGTTAGGTTTATTAATGACTCTTTCTGTTGAAAAACTACAAAAATCTTTTTTTACTAAAAAATAGCAAAATTAATAATGACAAAAACTTAATTGTGCCAATGGACTAAAAAAGGAAATTCTTGTATGAGAGCATAATAATAATAATAATAATAATAATAATAATAATAATAATAATAATAATATAATAATAATAATAATAATAACATGCCACATTATCATGTTGCAATGTCCTTCTAAAATATCAATAGGGTTAAGGTGTTTATAGTGAAAGGAATACGTTACAGTTTCTCCATACAGGTGACAAGGAATCGGGCTGCTTTAGCAACATCGTAAGCTCCATTCATGACTTGTCTTGTGTGGTAAGCAAGGTCATCCTGAGACGGGGTCTGACACTCCTTTTGTAAATGAGTGGAGGCTCTTTCCAACTCTTTAATGGAAGCATAGACCTCCTCTGGTTCTGTCCACTAAGAGGGGAAGGGGGAAGAGAGAGTATAACACTTATAAGTCTTGTGGTAGACATACTTTAGGGAAGAGGTCAGTCAGTTTGGTGATTGTTGTCGCTATTGCTAGTGAACAGGATGAAAACCTAAAGGACAGACAGTAAGTGTAAAAGTACACAAGGACATTATCATCATCATTACTCGCTCTGTCTCTGTGACTGAGCAGCTTTTAGCAACACTTGAATACACTGTGTGGTCTCCTTGATACAAGCCTGTATATCTGTCATTGAAGGGAGAGCTGTAGGGGGATTAATTATGTGAGGGGGCGGGATAGACTGTTGGGATTTCCTGTGAGGGGGAGGAGGGGGAGGTGTGGCCACCAGCCGAGGGTTCTCATCAAATGTGACGTCATCAAGAGGAGTCACTTTACCAGTTGGAACTAAATTAGTAAAACTTAGTATAACTCAGTATATTTCAGTATACCTGGCGATGATGGACTGTGGCTTTCAAAACTAGACAATGATTGCCTGTTTTTAAGAACAGGAACCGGAGACGCTGTAGTGGGTGTGGTTTTACTAGGGTGTGTGGGTGGGACATCTCCTGACGGCAAAGATATAACTTTCTTAACGGCAGTCTTAGGAGGCGGCTTAGGCTATAATGACAATAATAAATAAATTAATAAAATAATAAATCAATTACTTTAGCTCTTTTAGCTATTGCTGCATATTGATTATCGTCAATCTGCCCATTAGTTGGAGGTGTGACAGTAGGTGCGGTCTCTGTTGGTTCCACAATAGTGGGTGGGGCTGGAGAGGTTGGGGTTTTAGGAGTGATGGACTCGTTTGACGAGCGACGCAAACCAGAGTTCTCTTCTATCACCTTATTTAGCTAATTAAAGTGGGCGTGATTAATTGATATTAATAACCACACCCACCAATACATACCTGTTTCTGTAGTTCAGCTACTTTTCGATTTAAGACTTCATTTTGTGTTTCAAGCTCCTCCTTCTCTTGCTGTTATTAATTAATTATAATAATACAATCGTACAAATACATGTACATGAACTGTACCTGTATTTTTCTTAACTGCTCCATGACGACAGTAAACTTCACTTTACTAACCGTTTCCTCTCCTCCTTCAGGCTTAGCCCTCTCACTCTTAGCCCCGCCCTTATTGTGTAACCGTGCGTATGTAGTCTGGGGGCGTGGCTTCAAAGGAGGAGGAGGGAGTGGTCCCTTAGTCTCTGATGGTACAGTACTGTATCCCTCCTCATCCTGAACCTCACTGGAGAGTCTCTGTGATTCACGGAGCCGATTATAATTATCGTCTTGAGACGAGGAATAAGAATATGGGCGTGGTGTGGGTGTGGTCCCGATATCACTGGATCCAATCATACTGTACATGCTCTCTACGGGCGGAGTCAGTTTAGAGCGAGGGTTCTTATCTCTGGTAGGGGTGGTCTCAGGACTAGCCACACCTGCATCCCCTTCCACAGGCACATCCTCATAATCATGTTCCGGCATAGCCACACCCACTGCAGGAACTATAGTACCGGAACGTTCACCTGGGCATTAATAAGAATAAGGTGTGCATTAATAAGAATAAGGTGTGCATTAATAAGAATAAGGTATGCATTAATAAGAATAAGGTGTGCATTAATAAGAATAAGGTGTGCATTAATAAGAATAAGGTGTGCATTAATAAGAATATCTTACCAGTCTTAATGCTCAGTTCTTGTCTTGCTTTAGTGTCCAATAAGATGTCAATCGCCAGCTGACAAAACTCGTTTGAATCCAGTGTGGCCAGTTTCTGTCGCCCTTGGTTACGAGTAGACGATAAAGTTGGATTCACAGGAAGAAAAGCAATTGAATTCTGGAGCTGTTGAGTCGTTAACCAAACTAGAGCAGGAAGGAAGGAGTGCCAATGGTGTATGGTGAGGGGTGGCAATGGTAACGTGTATTAAAAGTTTAAGTAAAAGCCAAATTGAAACTACATGTACATTGTATATTATAACTATATTGATCTGCTATAAGGAACCAGTCCAATCCATCAATTGTACATCAAAGTGTCCCTTAGTAGGTAAGGCTCGATCAATTAAACTCACTTGAATCGCATTCTCTTCTATCCACTTCATCATAAACATCAGAGGCTAGCTCCTCAAACTGTTCATTACTCAACTAAAGGTGTACTCAATATAAACAAGACAACTGACCAGCTCCTGTACTCACCTCCTGAAGCTTACCTCTTGCATCACTAACAGGGCCACTGATGCTAAAATATATAACATAAACCACACCCACTGTCACACCCACCATACCTCACTCCTGGCGGAACTAGAAAGTGTTCTCCAATGGTATGCATTGGTTTCCGCCCACTCACAAAGAGAGAGAGTTTATCAGTCAATTCATACTGACACTCAATCAGTCGGTCGGCCAGCTGGTGGTGTCCAGCTATCCTGGCACACTCCTCAGGGGTGTGGCCTAGCAGGTCTAGTGCCGTGGGGTTCCCTCCATGGACTAGTAACAGTTCCACCTGCATAGCCTGACCAGCATGAGCCGCTACATGAACTGGAGTATTACCACGATCCTATAATATACAAGAATATACTAAGGTATACTGAAGTGTACAGGGACTTTGGCCAGATTTTTGAGTAATGTTAAAAGTTCATAAAGAATCCAAACTATTGAAATGAGCTCAAACTTTCTACACAACATAAGTACATGTACATGTACAGTAAATGAGGAGTAACTCACCAAATGGAGGTAGTTAGGATCAGCTCCGAGGGAAAGTAGGCGGAGACAAGTTTCAAGATTACTAGTCCTTACACTCGCATGGAGTTGCTATGGAAACAATAACACAATGATAATGAAAAGAAAAATTATCATATAACAGCAACTTAACAAGAACAACAACAACAAAAACAAGAAGAACAATAAGAACAACAAGAACAGTGTTTACTGTTAGCGCTATGCCCACATACACTGTACACTCACTTTGCTCAAGTCTTCTATCATGTTAGGTGATTCTTTAAGAGAAGCTCGTGGCAATAAAGCCAGGTGCTTGTACTTAGCCACTATAAAATCATGCTTCGTAGGACTAGCAATGATAATAATAACAAGAGGATTATTGTAAATATATTCCTAACAATTATTTTGAACTGCATACAATAACTGATCCTTGAACTCACTGTATCTTGTCCCTTGGAGACGGTTTCTTTATTTTGACTTTGGAGCTGTCGTGAAGGGCATGCTCCCAAATTGAGTTAGAGCCTTTACGCACTAACGTACTAACCATCTGATGTGAGGAATATTAAAAGATATATAAAGGAGCTTATCTTGTACTGCTGGTAACTTTGAAGGAGAAGTATTAACACTGCAATAGTCATTTATCAAAATAAAGCCCCAGCTGCCATTTTGAGCTATTATGCACATGCTCAATGGGACATGGACACAAATTTACCAAATTAAAACTAACCAAGCAACAAAAATTCACCCAAAACTTTACTCAACCCAAAAGTACCAGCTATACATTATAGTAGTGGATCAGTATTCAGTACTTGTACAACTGACCTCTCTCATTGCAGGGGGCCAGCAGGTGCTGTGGAGTGAGCGAATGAATGAGATATGACGTCCAAGACTTCTGTGGACACTACAGCACTCATCACATATCAACACACCATGATTAATGGACGCCCAACTAGGATCTAAAGCATAATAATTATCAATAATCATGATGATGATCATAAATTGAATATCTTATCTACCACTGTACCTGACACACTGCAGTCAGCACAAATACTTTGAGACATATTCTCTCCCTAAAATGAAAATAATAAAAAAATATAAAGAGAGAGAGGGGGGGGAGAGGGAGAAAGGAGAAACACGACGACTTAGTCGTAGTCTTTTTTTTTGAACAGGAAATATTTTCTTCCTTTAATTAGAACATACACAATATTACTATTCTAATTAAACGACTGGTTATTAAGAAGTTATTAATAATAGGAACATGGCTAAAAGTTTGCGTTCTAAAAGAAGACAAAAGAACAACAGAATAAGGAGAAAGAAATTCGGAGAGAGAGAAGTATTGAAAGCATGGGAACACTACAATACAATACAAGAAAGGAAGAAACTTCCTAATGGTAACAATAATAATTAATGGAAATAATTAATTATAATTATGTTTGAGTAGGCGTGGTTAGTGGGGAAGACCACACCCAAACTGAAGTTGAAGAGGAAATGGAAACCAGTGGAGGGAAGGTATCAAAAAAAGACGTGGCAAAATGGTCGCTGTCTCGTAATCAAAAGAAAAAACTGTCCAAGAAAAGAAAACAATTTAAAATGAAAAAAAGAAAATATTAAAACTAAACATTAAAACTATTATTATTATTATTGAAGAATCATTTGAAAGTTTCTATGGAACATAAATACATGTATATGCATCAGAAAGTGAAATAAAAACGGAGAATTTTCTCCTTTCAATTTTGACAAAATCCCATGTACTATAGTACAGGGACTTTTACTCAATTTTGGACTTCAAAAATTTGTAAAATCAAATTTTGATGGGAATCAGCTCAAACTATCATACCAATATTTTGTGTATAAATTTCTCATTTATAATAATTCTTAATTATAGACAAAACTCAAAAACACAATGATACACTATACTGTATAATGTGCATGGATCACTTAATAAGAAGAAATGACTGAAGCGGCTGCTGGAGTATATTGGCAGCTGCTGGATATGAATCATACATGTGGCACATGTAAATCAATACATTATTGATAGAGTTGATAAATGAAGTTTGTAAAGAGAGAGAGAGAGAGCAGTGAAGAATCTTCAGCCATCAATCACTGCTGTTGAGGATACGTCTAATAATTAACTGATAAGCCACACCCACTAATTAAACCACTCACCATTCTGTACTGCATGGGATGAGTGAATCCGCTAGCCATTGTATCGACCGGTGTACCCATTGTCCTACCATTGTTAATGCTAGCGGCCCCGCCCATGTGATGAGAATGGATGTGGTGGGGCACAGCTACATTATGGTGGGGCACAGCTGTATTATGATGAAAAGGAATACCACTGGACTGGGACAACATGTGTAGCGGAGGCTGGTAATCTAAGAGAGCATTAATTAGAATTAGTGGGCATTAAATAGAATACCTCTATCATAACTGTTAGTGTGAATGGGAGGTACCTCCATAGACTATAAAGAGGGCAGCAATGAATAATTAATTAATTAATACGTGTGCCTACATTGTTAATTAAATGAGTGGGCAGTGTGGTACCAGCTGGTTTAGAGTGCATTTGCCTTATAACTGAAGTTGGTAAGAAACTGAGCGACGAGTTATTAGACTAATAAATAAATAAATAAATAACTTAATTAATTAATTAATGAGGTCTTTACCCTTTGAGTGATGACTCGTTGCCGTTCTTTCTCAGCTGCTAACAACTGTCTTTCTTGTCTTTCCTTTTCAGCCATTATCTGATTCAGTTCTGATCTTCTCCTTAACTCCATTTCCGATACCCAACTGATCCCATGCTGTTGTCCTGACGACTGCTGACTCAGCGTGTGACCAGGCCGAACTTGAACCGAATGATGAGACTTGTATAAGTTTGGTCTGTAAGCCACACCTCCTGTCACGCCCCACCGAGGGTGTGTCCACTCTTGATGAGTCTGATACCGCCCACCTCCTCTCAATCTATTAATTAATTAATTTAATGACCACACCCACAATATTATCGTACTGTAAAGGTTGTAGCTGTTCGGATTCATCAGAGAACAAAGTTCTGTTAACGTGTCCGCTGGTGGGCGGGACCTGATATTGCTAATTATTATTAATTTATTATTAATATTCATGAGTACTTACTTCTCTTCTACCGTGGGAAACATGTCCTTCAATTCCGGTCCCCGGAGGCCCCCCGTGTGGTGAATTTATAGCCGCTAGTAGTTTATTAAAGGCACTTTGATCTTGATCTACTTCCTGAGGGCGTGGCTCTTCAATCTCGTCTAACGTCATAGCACGTAATGGTCTCGTGGGGGCCTCCCCACTGCCCCCTGGGGGAATTTTTAAAACATTCAAGAGAGCATTAGTCAGTTGATGTTTATCAGTGATTGCAGGTAGTCCCTCCTTATTGTTATTATTATTAATGGGTGTGGCCTCCTCTTCATCACTGTCTGATGCTAGTGCTCGGCAGATACTCACTCCGGTACTAAAATCAAACCCGTCCAGCATGAACTCCTGATCATCATCGTATGGAGAGGAGGAGGGCAGGCCAGAGTCATAGTCATCTTTTGACGTATCACCAACACTTGACGAGGGGGAGGGGTCTGAACTGACTCCGCCTTCTTCTATTTGTTTATCGTCAACTGAAGATACATTGGTCCCTCCTGGTTTAATGGCTATAAAAATAATGGGCATTAATTAGAATAAACATGACATGCACATGTACAGTGGTATCGTCCCAACTCAGTTTGGACCGGAAGTGGAAGTAGCTGCAAGGAATTTGAAAAATGTAGTCAAGTCACTAATGAAGCGTTATAGCGGCTATGTTGTTTCAGTCTTAAAGCAGCTTTGCTCTTCCTGATAAGCAGTACAATAGCTACTGGAGTCAACTAGTCTTTATAAAGGCCATCATTATCAGAAGATCTGAGTCTGTTAGCTTTTAAAAGAAGAGTTATCAGTTTGGTCACTCGACTACATGTGCTTATGTAAACTATGACATCATAAAATGCCATAGCAGTTAGCTTTGGTATGCCATTGGGTTTATAGGGAGAACCCGGTTCTCAGGGTTCCCAAGGGCTGAGAGACCCAAGACCTGAGATCCTTTGGGTGACTAAGAACCTGTGAAAGTTTCATTCTTATCCCATATTTCTATAAAAAGTTATTCCAGTTTTTATTGGTCCAAACTCAGTTGGTATAGTGCAGAGTTGTAAATGAAGTAATTATAAATCATTAAAATCAATTATAATTATTTCAACATAATTCCTTCATAAAACTGACCTTCTCTCTCCAGCTCATGGTCCTCCATTCCTTTTAGTTCCATTATTTCGTTACAATCCGTTGGACCGTAGGACATCCACTCCGGCTCCTCGTCCAGTCGACCAGTGTCCACTGACTCTCTCCAGCTACTGCCACGCCTCTTGGGTGGCTCCTGCCACTCCCCCTTTCCTCCGTTGCCACGGGAACGATAAGGAATGTGATCAATGACCTTATGACTGGAGGGTGTGGTCACTCTGTGATGATAAAAAACTTCATCTTTTTCTGATTCCGCTGAGTCACCATTATTTGTTTGATTAGTGGGCGGAGCCTGTGGCCCATTCTTGACAGGAGATTCCCTCCAGGAGCAGCCGGAACCAAAGGATCGTCTCTGAGGACTCAGTGTAACCTTAGCTGATGTCTTGGGATCTGAAAGAGAATAGGATATTTGGAATCAGTTCAAACAGAGCATCTTAGGGCATACCGTGTTCTCTTATTAATGACAGGGTTGCTGGGTGCTTTGGTTTCATATCGTCGACTAGACTATTAATACACAATACAACAGTATAATAAATATATACTCACGTACTGCAAGAACTTACTCAGTCTCAGGATCATTGGGGTCATTGTTGCTGCTGCTGGAGCTGTTGTGTCTCCTGGTGATGATTGGAATACAAAATAAAACATGAAATGTCCTCCTTTTTCTCTCTCTTACTTGAGTATTTCTTTGACTATTTCAACTTCCATTGTATCAAAGTGAGGAACAGGAGACAATAGACTAAGTGTCACCTCTTTGAGCAGCAACAGGTCATCCTAATGCATGGACGTGTACCAATAATAAGAACATGTGCTTTGATACAAGGTAATCTAACTGGACTAAAACACTTGTGGTTTTCATGATGGTTTCACATGCAACCATTAGCTAAACTCTGCAATACTCCATTACAATAATGGCCCTAATTATACTAAACTGTAATGGCTTGATATAGTCCCAGTACCAGCTGGTCTAAACCCTTACCCTAGTGTAGACTAGTCTATTACTGTTCCCACAGAGATCCTTTGCTCCTAAATCAGTGCCTCCTTCTTCTTCAATAAGAGGAGCTTCATTCTCCAAGGGTCCCCGGTCTTCCTCTTGTACAGTCTCTTCTTGTTTATCAACTGTATCTTCGGTAGTTTGGGCTGGTGGGTGGGACTTATTTGAAGCATTATTCTTTCTATTGTGGGTCTTCCCTGATTGGGTAAGGTTCCTTGTTGAATGAGTCTCTCGTGGTTTCCTGTGTTCATCCTTCCCTGGGCGGTGCCTTCCTTTATGAGCAGACTCCCACCCACTGCCCTTAGCTTTAACGGAGCCATCGTGTGTACTTGTGCTGCCATGGTAACGAGGGGTTGGCCCCGTAGTGTTCCTCTTACCCCCAAAGGACCGGGCGGAGCCCTCCTTCTTGTCCTGGGGGTGCCGATTACCTTTTAAGAATAAAATGAAATACATTTACAGTAGAGGGACATACCTGTGGAGTGGGTCTTTGAGGTGGATCCCGTTTTATTGGCATCAGGTTCTGTAGACATGGTGAGGTTAGTACTTATTAAAAACTCACTGGTAGAGAATAGGTACAAATTACTAGTAGAGAAAACTAAAAATGAATTAAACTGGAGGAGGTGAGTTTGATTGGATTTGCAAGTGATACTGTGCTAAAGGTCGGCTAGTGGCTGAAGTAAAGAGATATGAAGATCCTCTGCTGCTACCCTCCCTCTCTCTCTCTCTTTAGCGGATGGACTGGAGGAGGTGATCAGTCTCTTCTGTGAAGCAACTATTGCCTGTCTGTCGCTGGAGCAATGTATGGGTCACGTGACTAATCAATGACATCATCGGATAAGATTATGAAAAGTTATTAAATTATGAAGGGCGGGGATTGTGCCAATAATAATGATTTTGTTTCCAACAAAATTATAATAGAAATTACAACTAAAAAAGAAATCATGAGCTAATAATAATTATTAATTAATTAATTAAAAATGTTAATTGTTCATGCATACATGTCCTCCCTGTCTGCTGACTCAGCACTCTCCCCGCTAATGTTACTAAAGTTAAGGAAGTGGGTGGGTCGATGGACCTCATGATAAAACTCCTTAGGATTAGAGAGAATCAACTCGTAACTCATGGTAGGAGAATGACGGACACCTTTAAATATAAAGAATAATTATATCATACTGTACATTATAATACAATTACCCATGAAATTATAGTTCCAGGACCCCTGGGCGGGGCACATGAAGAACCCGAGGAATCTATCGGAGAGAAGCATCTGAACCTTCTCATAGTGGGAGGGTAGATAGCCTTGAGGGTTGTTACTGGAGTCTTTATTGGACCGCCCCCACTCATAGCCCGAGGGTGTCAGCTTGTAGGCCGTTAGAGAACATGATCCAGGTGTAAAACTGATGAATGATAAGGACTATACAGTGGCAATAATATCAGTACCTGCATGTAATATCGATGGTTTTCTCTCCATCCCACGATGGGTTCTCCGCCATTATCTTAGCGTGTAGAGTAACGTCTTGAGGTGAGAGCTGAGGGAGCTCGTTGGGTTGAGTGTGTATCCAACCTAACGGTTCCATATCCTAACAGGAAGAAGAGAGGAAGGACTGGACTACCAGTGACAGTAAGAATAGGATACCTTGAGGTACTCGTGGTGAGGTAAGGCATTCGGTAAATGGACAGACTATAACAAATAAACAAACAAATAAACAAACAAATAAATAAACAAGCTATGTTTTATTGATTCACCAGTACCTGATGAGTCCCCCACTGTGGTACCAAGACTATACAGTGGATCTCCTTCACCTGAGGATTGTCGGGAGGGCTCACTCCATAGATGTAACCACAGATCTAAAGAGAAAGGACACTATCATACGCAGCTGGTAATTTTGAAGAAGCTACAAGTAGAAGAACTGCCGAACTATTGGTATTCATTAATTTGTGTTTGTGTCTCATTTAGCATTAAGATAATGGTTTAAAATGGCTGGTTGTACTATTTTAGAAAATGGCTATCAAAACACAAAACTTGCCAAAACTATCCTTGTCCAAATATAACCACTGTAAACTGTACAGAGAACAGAGGACACCATGTACACTTACTTGTGTCCTCAGGTCTGATATGACAATAAACTTCTTGAGTATGTTCTTAGGCAGTATGTAAGTATAGCCAGTTTCTTTAATGTCGTCTGATGACACATATATATGATTGGTCCTGAGGTGAAGGTTAGTTGCTGAAATGGCTCTCACTCTCCACTCAGTCTTGGAGGAGAAGGTCTGTCTCTCATAGTTGCTGGTCGTCGTGACGATGATCTCATCTCCGTGCTTGTTAATGGTCCGGGTTGTTGTTGCGGTAAGTTGACTTTGCTCTTTCGTTTGTTTTTCAATTTCAGCAATTTGCTGCCTTTGCTGTGAAGGAGCACTGATCTCCATTCCTAATATGATGTCTCTGATCTCAGACTGAGTCAGTGAAGCTACATTCACACTAGAGAAGACAATACATACTCATACCCAGGTAATCAACGTTACTGTACAATCTATCTACTTGTTTTTCTTTCCATAGTCGGCTAATATAAGATCTTTCAGTGCTACTTCAACTCTGATCCATTCCTCATCATTAAGTGTTGGCCAGATGTGGTGCGGCTCTGTAATGGTTGTCTTGTCAGGTTTAAGGATCACTTTAGTCCGTTCTGTATTGACATGAAGAGCTCTTAGTATGAGGATCAGTCTGGAGAATGCCTAAAGAATACAAGGAACTTTAATAAAAATAGAGAATTCTCTCCTGGTCATTTTTGTTACAATTTGCCACTAACAGTGTATGATGGAATACTCTTCAACCAGTCGTCATATAAATTGAATAACACCATCTGAGGCTCAGTGGCCTTCAGTATAAGATCACCTAACTTCTCTACCTAAAGACATGATGACATCATCAACCATCACATGACATGACTGCCACACCTACCTTCAAACAGGCTTGAAACGGCAGCTGCAACTCACTCCCTTTTATTACTATATTAGGAAAATCCAACAAGTGAACCTAAAACAATTAATTAATAAATAATTATTAATTAACATAAGCCACACCTCTAGAGGATCAAGCATTCCTTTCCTGGTTACAATAATCTGTTTGGGTTGTTCCTCCACTGGCAGTGACCGAATGAGAGCTGCCACTTCTTCCGCTGTCTTCCATTTTGCCAGCTGGCCCAGACGCTTCTGCCCCGCCCACACTGAAGTGTGGATAATCTTTAGGAAGAGCTGGCCAGTACGTGGATTGAATATAAAGATGGCTCCATTAATTGGCTTTGTAGTTAAATTACCTTCAAATGTCTATCAAAAAGAAATCGACAGCTTAAAGTACATGTACAGTGCAGTTATTAATATTTGGTGACTACATTCTTCATCACAACATTATTAGTTTATAACAAAGCCAAGGACACCATTAATACACTATCCCTCATCAACAACAAACTCCAGCTGGTCACTATACACCACCAGCTGCAGTGGATAGTGAGGGGGTGGGGCAGGGGGAGGAGCTAACCTTATGAATGGTAACCCGGTAAACATTGGTATCATCAACAAACCAAATGATTTGATTTGAGAATAACTCTCCGTAATTCTGTGAGGAGAGGTAAGGCTCCGTTGGCTCAGAGGAATACAGCTGGAGTGCTTTCCTAATCCTTTCTCTCAGGACATAGAGGGCAGGGTTAGCCTTCATTATCTTGGACATGGCCTGCTGGATTAGAGGTTTCATTCCCGGGATCCAACTTCCAAATGCACTGCATGGGAATGGAAATACGAGAATGAAATTTATTATTAATTTATGTGCCTTTAATTCGAAGTTATTACTCACTAAATTTGCTAAACATTAACCCACACAGTTAATATTAGGCCCGGCCCCCTACCTGTGTAAATTATAAGCGAGATCAATACCAATCATGGCCCCGGTGGGTGATGGGTAGATGCTCATGTTGTCAGTGGTGTAGTCGAGGAACTTGGCACGAGCGTATCTTTCAACATCATGAGAGTCATAGTCACCCCATCTTAACTGTACATCTACCCAATACTTCTGGGTAGTGGTGGCGTCCATTATATCTCTGTTAGGAATAATAATAATAATAATAATAATAATAATAATAATAATAATAATAATAATAATAATAATAATAATAATAATAATAATAATCAATTATTAGTCGTTGCTCAGTATTTGTGGTAGTATTTTAATCACAAACAATAATCTGTTCATTGGATTGACAGATAGCAACAAATCATCACAGCAACAACAACAAACAAACAAACAAACAAACAAACAACTGTTGTTGTTACTTTGAATCAGCCAGTAGAGATGGTTTTGACACGTTCCACTTGTAAGAGGCGAACAGAAGAATGTCAGCACATGAGGAGTTCATCTTGTAAGACTTCCTCGGGTGAATGGTCTCTTTCTGTACTGTCTCTATCTCTAGTGCGTCCAGCTCCTGATCAAACACCTGTGGGCAGGGCCAGTTATTAATACTAGTTATTAAAAGAGGTGTGGCTACCTGACACAAGTCCATGACAACACTTTCGTGTATCTTCTGCCACAAGTGAGCTCGGAAGATTTGAATCAGTGAGATCTTTAGTGTTGGGATCTTTCCATGCATAAAGATACCAGTGAGATCCAGCTGTACTTGAAAACCTACATACACCTGAAGAAAGAGGTAACCACACCCCCTAATTAACGTACATTAGCTCTGTTAATGGTAGGAGACCACCAGAGGGTGAACCTTCTGTTTGGTATCTGGTTCAGTCCTGAGCGCTGGGCGTTGGTCAACTTCTTGTACTTCATTGACTCCTCAAACCCACTCGCCTTCTCCCAAAACAGCCCCTCCCAGGTCGGGAAATAAGTGCCTAATTAATGAAATGGGTGTGGTCACATAAACAATTAATTGGTGGGTGTGGTCATTACCCTTAAAGAGGGTGTGTTCCAGTATCCCCTCCACTCCTCCTAATGCTTGTATCATGTCAGTCCGGTAGTTATTCAAGTTCCATAGTTTACCATCGTGTCTCTGATGAGTCCACCAGAAAGGATTCTGCTTGAGTACCTGCAGTCATATAATGATAATAAACCACAGCCACACCCACCCATCACCTGATACTGCTTAAAGTCGGTCCTGACCCTCCATCCCTTATCATAGGCCAGTGTGTGCCTGTCCTTTTGGAAGAGGGTGTTGATCCTTGGGATCCCTCTGTCCCAGGAGTCCTCAAGGTCTTCCAGTGTTAGTCTCCGGTTCTGAGCATTAGCTTCTTGTCTCTTTAGTCTATACTCCGCCCACACTCTCTGACTGTCAATGAACTCACTCTCCCACGGCTGGATATAACTAGTTATTAATATCAGTTAATTAACTAGCTATTAACATCTATCAATTAACTAACCGGTATAGATTAGGGATCAGTTGGTCCTCATCGTGACTCATTCCTGATCTGAAGTGAGTGATACCAACGTCGGTCTGTTTGGACCACCTCAGGTCAGACTGCGGAATGAGGACGTGACCCATTGATAACATTCCCAGTCCTCCTAACTCTTTGGGGGTATAAAATACCACAGGGGGAAATCTGGAAGGCATTTTAGAATTAAGACCAATCTTAATACGAGTTTGAATCTATTAACAGTGAAGGGGGGACACAGTATCAAGGCACTGTCATGATATTATTAATTATTACCTTATTTTCACACTTTACTAGTAAGTCCAGCAGTTCTTGCGTATTGACCACTGCTTCTCTGAAATAGGTCATCAGACCAATCAGTGCTGTGTTCCACTTATTGATAATCTAAAGGACAAACAAACAACAATAAACAACAACATCCTCTTCTTGTTGTTGTTGTTTATACTTTAGTGAAGGTTGTTGATCCAGATGCCATCAGTATCTGTCTCACTCTGTTATGGAACCTGTGGAGTGAGTCGTTGTCCACCCGTAGGAAGCACTGGGCAGTCCTCTCCTTTGTCACCTGTATTAACGGGTACTCTAATTAATGCACACTATCCTAATTAATGCCCACCTCATTCTGGAGGTTCCATACTCCGTCTTTATGAGTGAATTCCTCGTACATCATCCGACACTTTGGGAGTATCCTCACCTCAAACCCGCCCATATTGAAGAGGAGGTTGGGGTTGTCTTTGCTGTAAACCGAAACAAAGCTGTTCTCCCACTGAATGGTCGTCACTGAGCGAGGGAGCCGGTTCTTAATCTCCCAAAATACAGCACGACCCCTGGGGGCAGAGACAATTAATAATAATAACAATTAACCCACTCACAGGTTCACGTCATGTTTCATGAGTCTCATTCTGGAGTCCCTCGGCCAGCACTTCTTGTTATTGTACCCAACAATGTTCTCATTGTTTGGGTCAGGGTGCTCCGTCAGGTAACGCTGGATCAGGTCTTTGGAATCATCAGCTGAAAACCTAATCACACGACAGGTTATTAATAGCTGGTTATTAAGTAGTTATTAATAGGTAGTTATTAATGGGTCTCAGTGACCAGTGTTATCAACAGATGGTTCAGACCGCCCGTCTGGTCATTAACTCATCACAGACCACTCCTATAATGGCCACACCCACCAGGAGACACTAACCTGAAGAACACATGAACCCTGTCAATGTAACGAGAGTATAATCTGATCGGGTGGACAGTCTCAGTGTCCACGTCCTGGTAGGTTAAAAAATCGTTGGGTAGTTGAGGAGGTCCTGCCATTTCACTAGCTCTTTGAAGACCAAGTACCAGCAGATCAAGAACCAACCCGTAATACTGGACTACGAACGAGGCAAACTGGAGTCCTCTTATGATACCGTAAGAATTGGTGTGGTTCATGTCCTATTCATACGATGATCATTATACATAGATGTACTGCCAGTACTTACCTTATAATTGATGACCACGTTGTTCTTAGCCGTCATGTAGTCAGCGATGTTATGATCAACAATCAGTCGTAGCAGTCGATTCAATAAAGTTAGATCAATCTTCTCGTACAACTTTTCAAAGGAAGTCTCCATCATCACGTTACACTCACCCTCCCCTGTGTCCCACACGTCTTGTAGATTATTAATACCTGGATATTAATAACTAGTGTTAATTAACTGGGGAGCAACAAAGCTAAAAAATCAGGCCAACTTTTGCCAAAATTGAAAAGGAGAGAATTCTCTATTTTTATTACATTTTCTGATACATAATGATGTCCTTATGCTGTGTAGAAAGTTTGAGCTGATTCAGACTTCAATTTTTCAAGTTACGGTCCTTTTAAGAAAACGTCAAAAATCTGAAAAATACTCAAGGCTATAGCCCATGGTTTTTTCCAAAAAATGGCTAAAAAATCACCATAAATTTTTATTACATTTTCTGTTACATATTGATGTCCTTATGCTGTGTAGCAAGTTTGAGCTGATTCCGACTTCAATTTTTCAAGTTACGGTTATTTTAAGAAAACGTCAAAAATCTGAAAAATACCCAAGGCTATAGTCCATGGTTTTTTCCAAAAAAATGGCTTCAAAATCACCATAAATTTTTATTACAATTTCTGTTACATATTGATGTCCTTATGCTGTGTAGCAAGTTTGAGCTGATTCCGACTTCAATTTTTCAAGTTACGGTCATTTTAAGAAAACGTCAAAAATTTGAAAAATACCCAAGGCTATAGCCCATGGTTTTTTCCAAAAAATGGCTAAAAAATCACCCTAAATTTTTATTACATTTTCCAATACATATTGATGTCCTTATGCTGTGTAGAAAGTTTGAGCTGATTCCAACTTCAATTTTTCAAGTTACGGTTATTTTAAGAAAACGTCAAAAATTTGAAAAATACCCAAGGCTATAGTCCATGGTTTTTTTCCAAAAATTGGCCAAAAAATCACCCCAAACTTTTATTACATTTTCCAATACATATTGATGTCCTTATGCTGTGTAGAAAGTTTGAGCTGATTCCGACTTCAATTTTTCAAGTTATGGTCATTTTAAGAAAACGTCAAAAATTTGAAAAAGACCCAAGACTATAGTCCATGGTTTTTTTCCAAAAAATGGCCAAAAAATCACCCCAAATTTTTATTACACTTTCTGATACATATTGATGTCCTTATGCTGTGTAGCAAGTTTGAGCTGATTCCGACTTCAATTTTTCAAGTTACGGCCATTTTAAGAAAACGTCAAAAATTTGAAAAAGACCCAAGACTATAGTCCATGGTTTTTTCCAAAAAAATGGCTTCAAAATCACTCCAAATTTTTATTACATTTTCTAATACATATTGATGTCCTTATGCTGTGTAGCAAGTTTGAGCTGATTCCGACTTCAATTTTTCAAGTTATGGTCATTTTAAGAAAACGTCAAAAATTTGAAAAAGACCCAAGACTATAGTCCATGGTTTTTTCCAAAAAAATGGCTTCAAAATCACTCCAAATTTTTATTACATTTTCTAATACATATACCGTACATTATATTATCCAAATATTAATAAGGTTCCTTACCTTGGCACCACTTGTAGACCAGTAGCGGAGGTGGTTCAGTATCAGCTGGTTTGATCCATGGAGGGAACAGTCTCCTCTTGTCGGCCTCATACCACAAGTATTGGTCTAAGTATGCATCAGTAATCTTCTCCAACGGCTCCACGTCATAGACTGGGATCAAGTGACTGTACAGGTCCATGAATTCAATACCAACCTATTGCAACAAGTAGGTGTGGTTATTAGTGGGTGTGGTCACATACCTCTTTAAAGGCCCTCTGTGTCAGCAGGTGCCTTTTTACTCTGGAGAGCGTCTCGTGAGGATTATCATAAGCCTGTTCTATCAGCCCCAGTTCTTCTCTTTGCGACTGATTCAAACGACTTTTAACACTAAGAGGGAAAGACAGCTGGTAATGTACAGCTGGTACTTGTGGAGGTAAAGTTTTGTTGGTCACTGAATTTTTAATTTATCAAATTACACATTTAAAGAAACACAAAAGTTTAAAACAATGGCTAGTATTTCACAATCAATAGACCAAACTCCCCTCCTCCTCCTCTAAAGTTACCAGTATATAATCACATATCCCAATACCTGTAAGCTTCCTTGAGTCTCTCCAGGGCTAATATCAACAGTTTTGTGTCATGTTTGTAGGATAAAGGAGGGAAGGGAATGGGAGAGAACCTCCTGCTCTCCAGCCAGTGTACAGTAGTAGTGTATATAGCCACTGCCTCTTCTGCAGTGACATAGGGGCCATCCTTGAGATAGTTGTGCTGTCTCTCCTGCTCTGCTTTCAAATAGAGTCTAGTCAGACGACCCAGGTTCTTCTTACAGACGGTTTTATCAACAGTTGCTCCTCGTCTGATACGTTCTCTATTGTAATGGGCAGTGTTGGTCCACCAGTCAGCTTTGGACTTTACATAACGGAGTATCATGTTCTCGACTGGTATCGGCAGACCGGGTACCTTCCAGGGTATGTTAGCCTTCCAGCAGCGCCAGGCCTCACTCAAGTGCTGGAGTATCACACGAGCTTTGTTCTGTTTGATACCCTCCGGCATCATGTCAAGAATATCATGCATTACCTGCAGAATAAAGTAATTAAATGATTAATTAACTGATTAATTAAATAATATTTGGTCCTCAGTGGTGCTATGGTTTGTCGTCATGACAACATCAGACGGTAATTCCAACTTATAACTCATCACTGAACCAAAACAATTACTCATTAATAACTATAATTAACTCACAGCTGCTCTGAGCTCAAGGTCAAAATGGCTCTCCACCCGTTGCTTAGTAACAGTCTTGGCCACGCCCTTTGAGTGTCGTCCCTCAAACTGACGTGAGAGGAGGTTCCCCAACCACCTCTCCAGGAGAGGGACTATCCCTCGCATAAAAAATATCCAGACCCTCCAGCCGGGGGCCCAAATACCAACACCAGGTCCCTTGCCCACTGGGCCCTATAAAGACAGTAATGAGTAGATAGAGTCTTCCATTAGAGAGTCCTTACTGTGTTGAACCGGTAGTATATGACGTGTTTCAGGTCCTTACACATTCTGATTTGTCTCATTAGCTTATACTTGTAGCGGTACATACCAGTCAGCTGGCCAATGTGAGAGAATATGTACTGGATACCGTCGGCTAACTGTATGATAGAGAAATGGTAATATAGTGACCAGTGTGTGTCTGGAGGTGAGTATCAGTAATGTAATACCTGAATCCCTTGATATCTGCCCTCAGCTTCACCTCAAGCAGATATCTCAGTCCTCAGGTATTACATTACTGATACACACACAGCTGGTCAATATTATACATTAATACATTGTACAATGTAGATGCAAAGAAAGAAGAAAGGTTGTTGGTTTACCTGGTAGGCGTCCACATTCCCTAGTCTGTACTGCACGTGTGAGTCAACCACAAGTTTAGTCAATCGAAGGATCTCACGGCACAAGTGAAAGGCGTTACCAAACCGAGACTTCTTCCTTTCCTTAGTCGTGAGTGTCTTGACCGGCTTTAGGTTGAAGTTGTAATCAAGGTGAAGGTAGTTTAGGTTCTTCCGATGGATCAGCAAGTTCAGCATGTTGTAACCTTGACGACAGACCTGGAGACCAGCCTCTACCCAGTCCAACTTTGTCGACTGGAAGAACTTGGTCTGCTTGAAAGAACGAAACAGATACCTACAATAAATAATGAAGGATTACTAACGTCATGTTAGTATTAAAGTACCTTTTCTTCATTGCTTTAGGTGGTCTGTGTTTCAAGGAGTTCAGTACAAATATTTTTAATAATTTCTGATAGGAGACCCTAACTTTAACCGGCTGGTTAGGGGGGCAGTGCTCCTGGTACCACATCTTAACCAGGGGAACATCAACAGCTCTACGAGAGTGCCCCGCCCTCAAGTTAAAGGGGCGTGGTGCCCAGAGGAGAGCAATACCATTGGAAGTGTTATCAGTATAAAGGGGCGTGTCACTCAGGATTGGTTCCACGTAATCAGGAAGAAAGAACTCCTCATCTTCGTCAGGTTCAGGCTCCTCAATCTAATAATAATAATAATAATAATAATAATAATAATAATAATAAATAAATAAATAAAACCTACTTTCACAGCATGGCGATGAGATATTGGATTAATTAAAGGGTCGAAATAAAAAGCTGGTAAATTGGGATCCTCAGTCTTTATGAAGACCACAGTGGGGTAATGATACCTGACAATGGAGAGACAGTGTCACATGATAGTCACATGACACCTACCAGGAGAGGTGGACATAGAGCGGAAGGTTATTGTACAAATAAGGAAAGGCGATCCTGTACTCGGTCCTGATTGGCTGGCGAATGATAATCTTATTAATGTCATTGAACTCGTTCCAGTCCTCGTCACTATGGTAACAAGCCACACCCACTAATTAAACTAACACAAAAAGACTTACCCTATTTCCTGGTGCTCTTTAATTAGAGGTTCAAATTTCGGACCACCTGGTATAGCAAGATTGAGTGCCTTAGCAGTGAAGAAAGACTTCATGTCAAATAAATAAAAATAATTATCATCAGCAAGATCAGTGAGTAGCTGGTTTCCAAGACGATAGAGTGTTGACATAATTGATAAAGAGAGGTTCCAAGTACGGTAGGAGGAGCCACACACGAACCTAAAGGAGAAGGTGAGTCATGAAAAGGCGGCCATAACGCATGATATAACTGGTACTTTGTTCCCACTAATGGTTTGTGGTCGTAGAACCAGTCGTAGACTGCTGAGTCCTCCTCCTCATCAAGATCCATTTGTATGGCCTCCAGAGGTTCAACGTCCAACACATTATCAGCATAGTCCAGGGGAGGCTCCTCATCATCAAAGGGAGGAAACCTCATCCTTTTAAAGTGACGCCTGTCTCTCTTCTCACGTCTCATCATGATCCACATAGTGCTATAAACCACACCTACTCATTAATTAATATCAACCACACCCACTCACCCCCATTGCGCAATATAGATAGGTTCAGAGACCCAGGGTATCTCATTAACAAAGGTGATTGCTCCGGTGATGTGGTATATCACTGACACGTCTCTGATCTGTTCCCACGGCATTGGCATGTTCTCTAATAGCTTCATCATCGCATGAGGCATGTACTTCAGGGCCCTATGAATAATTAATTAACCACACCCACCAATTAATAATTAGCCACACCCATTCATTAATAACTCACCCCAGGTACACTCTCTTGTCATTCCGGAACTTCTTGTGAGTCATGTCCCCATGGTCCCGTATGATCTTACGGACGTGTTCTGGAGGCATGTCCTCCTTCTGGGCCTCAACAAAACCAAACTTCCTCTTTTCGCTGTACCTCTTGGACTGGAGCTGCTGCCATTTCTTAGCTGAAGAAAATAATAATAATAATAATAATAATAATAATATCAATTGTTTCCTCTAATAAGATATTAACACAGTTATTAATTGATTAACTGATTAATGCGGAATAGAGGCGGGGCTTACTATAGGCCAGTGTGAATCAAAAAGTATATTAATTAATACTTTGAGCAGAATACCAGCCACACCCATTAATTAAAATCCAATTAATTATCGTCCACCCATAACTAGTTTCCATTAGTTCACCTTTATCCTCCAGTATCTCTTCTGGCAGTGGCTCGTGGTAGGGGAAAGGGTGTGGCTGTCTTTGTATCAATGGATGCAACAATGACATCTTGAGTCACCTTCACCTCCACGACTATAAACTGATAAAGAAGAGAAAAAAGAAAAGGGAGAGAGAAAGAGAGTTATCACGAGGTGAGAGAGAAATCCCTCCAAACCTCAAGAAAACGTGGAGACGACGTTAGGATCACGTGAGCATAATAATTGTAAATGGGTGTGGCTATTTATTAATGGCTACTTTTCCATTCTACTGCAGACTGCAGCTATGCGTTTTAAAAATAGGTAGAATGATTGAAAATGCATTTCAGTATTATGATTGTTATTATTTTTATAGATACTTACTGCTAGAGCTGAGGTTCAGCTCAGAAAGAGATAGGAGCCATGT